GAATTTCAAACAGAGAAGTTGGTGTTAGTGAGTACTCGGAGTTACATGGGCTGATTGGCTCAGCAAATCTTCCCTTTTTTACCTCCAAATCATTTGCCGACATGCTCTAGGTTTTCATATGGAATCCAGTCTACAGTTGGGTGATGGTCTTCTCTAAAATACACATGGTTTTGAGAGTTAAAGCAAACCTACAACTCCACAAGTATGTTTTACTGCTATTCTTAATATTGCTCTGGCAGGATTACTGTAAGGTAAGTGGGGATTCCTGTCAAAATTGTTTTTTTCTTCTTTCCTCCTCTCTGTCATTACTAGATCCACTTGCTTTCCTATTAAGTTCCCTGGTCCCTTGGCCTCCCTTCTTCCAGGACACCTTCAGGGTAGATGTAGGTCTGTAATGTTTTAGCAGTGAGAAAGACACCATGCACCTGTGTTTTAGAAATAGAAAGCCTCTATTACCCACATCTTATTGTGGTAGCTGAAAATTGTCACCAAAGCTTGTCTGCTGGCCAGGTGTGTTGGGAGGTAACCTATGCTTTTATACTTTGCTTTAGACAAAGGGCAGCAATAAAGACTTTTCTTGGTAAGATCTCGATGGGAAGCTGCTTTGTGCCAGTACAAGTTGTTTGTGTCTCTTATGGCTCCTACACCAAGGGCTGCAACTACTCTCTCTCCCACAGACACTGTGTTTGTCATATGTCTCCTTAGAGCCACTTGTATTTGTGAACCAAGCAGTTCCTGGGCTCTTAGGTGACCCTGAGCTGTTGGATTATTAAAGCTCATAAATCCTATTGAAAGTGTTTGGAACTTCCTCAGCCTGATTTCTTCCCTACAGTACTCTAATATGTGGAGGTAGTGCACATTCTCTACAATGAATCACAGATCTCAAGATAACCAGCTCACTGCATTCCCTGCCTGGGACTCTCCCTCCTCCTCTTTTTCTCACCATTTTCTCTCTGGCCCATTCTAACACCACAGTTCACAACACTCTAGCTGACTCTCTTCTTACTACTCTTTCTCTTACTCACCACTGCATGTTTTGTAGCTTTGTCCCATCGTGCATGCCACACATACGTATTATAAAAAGTACTACTATGCTAAGATTCTATATTAGAGATGTGTTTCTGTCCAGTGCAACTGAGAGCTGCTGATGAGCCCTTTCTGTGGTCACTTTAGAACATCCTTTTTTGAGCTGCCAGCCACTCATCAGCCCCTGAAACAGGCCACTGGCCCTTCTACACTCTGACCTGAAAGTTCACTAGTCCTCCTGCCTGTAAACATAAATTGAAGAAAAGGCTACAGCAGGAGAGACAATGTGCACAAATGCTAGTTGTCAAAGACAGAGTTCAAATTCCTGCTCATCTTCTTCTGAAAGTCACAGCTGAGCAGTGCTGCAGAAGCTACAGTTTCTGGTCTTGGGGAGATCAGGCAACTTTTTTTTTTTTGTGTGGGGTGAGGAACTCCACACTGTAATCTCCTTTTCAAGATACACAGATATGGCACATCAAACACAATGGGATTTCCAAAAGAAACTATGAGGGGATTTGAAACGTCAAATACAAAGAAATGATTCTTTGCTTTCAGTGGGGGAAAAAAAAGCTGCCTCAGCCCCTCTAGCAACAGATTATATTTTTAAAGGGTTGTTCATTGATCTTTCTCCAAAGAAAGAATCTGAGATTTAGGTACCTGATCTTAATCCTAATGAAATCCATTGCAAAATTCTTACTGAGTTCATTGGAAAGAGCATAAAGCTTCATTTTTATTGTCAAGTCTGAGATACCAGTATATGCTTTACACAAATTGCTTGGGTAATTTTCCCTTACTTGAGATGCTGTAGCTGAAAAAATATTTTATCTCTTCCTGAGAACTATTTAAAACTGGAGCAATTTGGCTATATTTACATATTGTAAAGGGCCATTTTAAAAATACATTCTATATTTTTAAGTCCATCTGCAAATTATGCATGATTAATTCGTTTGTAACATGTAGGACATAAAAATGGAAAGGAGTTTAAAAATAAATGAAACCCCCTAAAACTGATCTCTTTCACATAAGATTATGATAAAATACATCAACAGTTAGCTTATCATACTGTTGTGCCTCAAACTGAATCATTCCATAACTCCACAACATAACAGACTCTATACGTTAGAGGGCTTTTTTTTTTAACTAAGAAGTGACTAGAAGCAGCAGAAATGTGCAACCAGTTGTGCAAGATTTCATTAATTTATTTAGTAACACTGTGTGCCTTCTCTCCAGATTCCTATCTGTGATTGCAGAACTGCAAGAAGCTCTGTATACTTTTCTGACATCTCATACTTCCAGTCTGATACTGGGTTTTGAGAGCCCAGTACGGTTTTCTTGATTTCTAGGTGAAATTAAGATATCATAGCTAGAAAGTATGCTTGCAGTGAACAAGTAATATAATCTGTTGTCATGCTTTGGAAATACCTTGAGCTGAGGCATTTGGTGTTGTCTGTAGGAATTTTGTGTACCTACAGTTTCATGTGTGCTTCACCTCTCTATGTTGGTTCTATTGCACAAGGGCACTTGGCAATGCCAGAATTCTAGAAAGCATGTGCTGCTGGTTAATTGGTTAGATGTTTTGCTCAAGAAAGTACTTGGTGAAATAGGTCTTGTGTCTTTTTTTCCCCCTCGAAATTTGGCCATGTAACAGACAGAAAAAGGTTGACACCATAAGTCTGAAGAGTTGATCTACTTCTGTTTTTGCTTAAAAACACAGCTTCTGCTGTGTTCATGAAAGTGCTGACTTTCAGGAAGATTAAATGGATAATTATCCCTGTCCATGTTTACAGATCAGGGCAGGCAGCAGCAAGTCATTGCCATGGTTTGCCACCTCTTCAATAGTATGATTGTGCAACGATTGTGATTTTTCTTTCTACAAAGTCCTGAAGAAATGGATGTAGGCTGTGTATTCTGTCAGATTACTATCTGACTGAGAAGGTCTAAGGTGACATCTTAACAAAGGAAGGCAATTTCACTTATTTTCACATGCTGTGTTTGATGCTACTCAACATTCTGAGTTGAAAAACTACATTACGTGATACTAGAGTGATACTGGGGTTCTTTCCTGATTATTTCCACTGGTGTTGCTGTAGCTGGCGTCTTTTAGCATTTGGTAACTTCCTCCAGGCACATCCAGCCTCGTAGGAGAGGGTGGAATGAACTGCCAGACTACAGCTTGGATTAATTTTTATCTTCTTACAGATCTAATGTATAAGTTTTGGCTCTTCCCACTCTGAAGACACTCCAGTATCTCAACGGTGGGAGACAAGCTGTGGACACGTGGCTGGTTTACATGTGCATGGTGTCTAGTGACTGGAGCAAGGTTCCGAAACATTCACTACTCTTGTCCCCTTCCCTTCTGGAGGTGAGTTGCAAGGCATTTAGTGAAGGCACGAGTGAGTACTGCTTTTGTGTCCTGGCGCAGAGTGCATTTTCTTCCTTCTCTGGGCACCCTGCTTGGGAGTAATGGAATGATGGGCAGCAGCCAGATGAGGCCCTCTCCATTTCACTGTAGGTTCAGAATAGTTTGGATAACCACCTCGGAAAATTAACTTTGGTTCATTGTTGAGACGGCTGCAACATCAAATGGCAAAAAGCAAAGAAGTAGTCCTTGCCCTGTCACCAGGTATAGCACACGAGTGCCATTTATAGCCTCTCTGCTGGTCTTTTTGCTTTCAACTGGAACCTGTAGCACAGTGTTAAAGGGAATATGTTAAAGAATGAAATTAAAAGTAGATGGAGCCACACATGACCATCCTAAGAGGAAACCACATCAGGAGGTGCATTAGCAGAACAGGTTTTGGTGTGCCTGGCTGAATGTCTCTGATCACTTGAAGCGTGCACCAAGAGCCGGCTAATGCACACCCTGTTGTGGCTCATCACTCACTGTATTCTTCCAGTCTGATTCCATTCAGCAGTCCCCAATAAAAGCAGGTGTTTGCTTCTAAGGGGAAAGAGGGGTTCCAGGGGTGCAAGGATAATGCCTACTAAAGAAAACATTTTCCTGCAACACTCCCCTGGCCTTCTGTATATTTGTCCATATTTACTGGTAAGCAAGTTCTGCTACATTCATTAACCATGGCAAACTATCTTCTCTAACTAGGGCTTTCTGAAAGCACATCATGAAAGGAGTGCATTTTTAACTGTGTATTTTGAATAAGAATTGTCTGTCTGTGGGAGTTGGGTTATTTGTATCACCGTAGACAGAAATGATCTCTATATTTCATAGGACCTTGCTGCTTTGTACTTATTGACTGTTTATTTTTCATCCATAGGATTACTAATTGCAGCTAGTACCAGACGCTTCTGTCTCCTTTCAGGTTATTGTAGTAGAGGGCATTGTACCAGATGCATGGTTATTCACAGACATGCATTTCCAGCAGCTGAATTGCTGGATCTGCTCTAAATGATCTATGGCAATTACATTTGGCGTTGTACAGCTATAATTTTACTGCATATTAATAGCCACCTAGCAAAGAGGTAAATGCCCTTTTCTCGGCTGGGTGCAGAATGAATGCCTGGATGTATTCAATTGGGTAAAACGAGGCCTGGATTTTAAATGCATAGCAGCGGTTTCATGTATCAGAAACGCGTGTGCTGGTGAATTGCCTGTTTCCCTCTGCCTTGATGGTGTGCAGCAAGGCTCCGAGGGAAACATCATCAAGCCAGATCCTAGATAGAGACATGCTGGGCAGGGGAGGAGGAAGGGGATCATGTGCCCCATTTTTAGTGGCTCATCTGCTACCACCCAAAATCTGCTGCAGTCTTTTTTTTTTTTTTTTGTGTTTTTTTTTTTTTTACCCCTTTCAGCAGCTCGGCTGATCAGCCTGAAGGCTGTCAGGTTTCACCAGCAAAAATAATAATTAAAACCACCCTCCCTAGACCTTTCATTTACAGATGTCCTCTGGAGTCAAGGCCCATTTCCTTCCCTCTTTATTTTTCTTGGGGGTCGTGTGTCGGGGGCGACAGGGAGTGGGTGGGAGCAAATAACAAGGAATTGGAGGGGATTAACGAGCTTTCTCCTTATTAGCCCCGCTCGGGTGCTTTGTCTCCGTGCTCCTGGCTGAGGATGGGCTGACGGGGAGGGCTTGAGGGGGGAACAACGTGACTGGAGGGGTCGGCGTGCGGGAAGCCACCGGCGCACGGGCGGGCGGACAGACAGACACAGACAGAGCGACCCCACGCACAGACAGACGGGCGGGCATCTCGGGCCGTGTGCGGGGCTGGGTGGGGTGAGGGCGGGCAGCGCAATGGCGCCGGGGCCAGCGGGTCCTGTGCGGCAGCCGGGGCAGCGGCGCTGAGCGCAGCGAGCGCGGAGCCGGCGAGCGGCGGAGCCGGAGCGCGGCGCTGCCTGCGGTCCGGGGCGCACCACGCTGCGTGGGCGGGGAGAGAGAGAAAGGCAGAGGTAGAGACTCGCAGACAGACAGTACAGCCCGGGAGCGCGGCAGATAAAGGACGGAGGACAGGGAGAGAGGAGCGAGCCAGAAGGGGATCCAGGCAGGCGCCAGGAGCGGACGGGCAGAGGCGGGCGGAGCGGCGGACCGGGCCCGGACAGGAGGCGGCCGGCGGGTCGGGCGGTGCCGCCGCGGCCACCGCGCCCGGCCAGCAGCGCGGCGCGGCGGCGGATCTCCTCCCGCGGCGGAGGCGGAGGAAGAGACCATGTATTTCAGGAAGACAGTCACTGTACTGTAACAGCAGCGTATCCGCAGCAAAATAAACAAACCGGCCAACCAAAAATACCAAACAAACAAAAATAGCCCGAGCCGCCAAGACGCTGGGGGCAGATCCCGTTTGCAGGCAAGGAAAAAAAAAAAAAAAAAAAAAAAAAAAAAAAAAAAAGGAAAGGAACGAAAAAAAACCAAAAACAAAACCCAAGGAAGCCAAAGCAGAATCTGTCGACATTTGTGTGGCGTGATGTTCTTTGTTGTCGCGATTTTTTTCTTGTCTATTTTTTTTTCTTCCAGCATGTGTTTTCTGTCATTTCGTTGGAGTCATTCGCCCCATCCCCCTCCACTCTCCCCCCCCCCCCCCCGCGATCTTTTAATTTTTGAGGTCAGGGCGGCTGGAGCATGTGGAGTGGAGAGAAACAGGAGCTGTGTATGGAACGGGGGCTTGCCTTTATTGCGTGCGATGGGCAATTATTAATAGCGGCTGCAGGATTCCGGCTCTAAGATGTGGTATTTACTAGAGGGGGAGGGAAAAGAAAAGGAAAACAGGGTGTCGCTCGTAGTGCGGCGGGGCAGGATGCTATCGGTGCTGGAGCCGGCGCCTCGCACGGGACTGCGGAGCGGCAGCGTAGCGGTGGTGACAGCCAGGTAGGGCGGGAAGGGCTCGGCGTGGTCGCGGGGCCGCCTGCCCCGCGGAGGGCGGCGGCTTCCCAAAGTTTCGGCCGCGCGGCGGTGATCGCCAGAGGCGCTGCCGGAGGGAGCAGAGGCGGCTCGGGCTCGGAGGTGAGGTGGTCGGGAGCCGGTCTGGGTCAGGGGAGACGAGCGCCAGGGAGGGGAGGGTCTGCGGGGGGAGGTCGCCCTCCTCCTAGCCGTCATTTTAGCTAAAATGGATCAGACTCTTAAGAAAATCTGAACTTTTACTCGCTGATTTGTGAACAGCATCGCGGGATCCGCTTTCAAAGCCGTGTTTGCTGGAGGGCAAACCTGGGCTGCTTGGACTGGCATTGTTCTTAAGGGTGGCGATGTGAGGGCAACAGATTTACTTGGTGCTTCCTTGGCATCTCTTTTTGCATGCAGTGGAGGAGGATTACAGTCCAGGTGTTTCAGCCTGTTAGGTGTCCCGTTTTCACAAAAAGCAGTTCATGTTACTCCGCTTGGTGTATTCTGCCTACTTGTCTGTGCGTCTCAAACGATATCGCTTGTAAATCTAACCCCGACGTGCTCATCTAGCGCAGCCATTGCGCAGCCTTGTTTAATTGCTGTTATTTATTTTGCCTTCATTCACCGCGTCAGCCAGCGGGGGGAACACGCTCCGATTCCGGGTGCATTTTTACGTACTAGGTGTGTCTCTGCGCTTCCAGGTGTGTGCGGTTTTGCTTAAAACTCATCCCGCCGCCGTGTGACATCGCTGTAAATGTGCCGGGAGGGGAAACAAAAGCATTAGAGAGCGACACAAGTGTTCTGTGCATCACCTGTTTGACTTCTCTGCCATTGCAATGCTGAGCCAGATGCATGCCCGGTGCGCGTTCTTCTAAATGGCATATGCACATTTTAGGCAAGTACAAGGCAATCGAAGCTGAGGGTGATGGGGAGGGGGTAAAAAAACCAACCAAACCAAAACCATACTGTAAACTGATCTGCAACTTTTTCAGTCGCATAATTTAACTGCACGCTGATTTTGTTTTAGTAGTCTTCGTCACGGATCGAGGCAAGTTTGTGTGCACAATTGGGCTTGCAAATTGCTAATCTCGCACTGACTTTGCCTCTCAGTTCCCAGCTGGGCATGGTTACCTTGAGAGCTGTGGTATCAGCACTGTCAGAGCATGCTCCGGTGGGGAGATCGGGTGTGTTCTATTTTTAATACTATTTAATGAAGATGCTTCTCACTCTGCAATATACGAAGCATAATGGAAGAGCAGAGCGATGATTGGTTATGGATACTGGAAAAGGAAAAATGCAAAGGTAAAAAATGTAAATCCCTCAAATATTTATATTACATTAATGAAAGAAAATGCAGCTGTGCAGAAAGGGGATTGATTAGCTTATTTTAAGCTGAAGAGTTTCATGGTGTCTAGGATGCTATTTTTTTTTTTTTAAGTGCTTTTAAAAAGTTGCTTGGAGCAAACTAGATAGATTATTTTGTGCTATTGGTAAATCTTATAATATGTAGGCATGCTTATGTTGAAGAATATGCTTTTTGTATAGTGAAGTATCTTACAGTGGAGTAGCTTAAGGAACATCTTAAATTTTTATTTTTTTTTATTGTGATAACCAATTTGAATGATTAGCTCTATTTACATGCTTATTGGTAGCCTCCTGAAGCGGGAGTTTTGAGTTTTTATTCCTTGCAGTTAAAAGTTAATTCAGTTGATATTAAAAATCATTGTTGCATGCAATGCTCACAGAATGCAAGCGGCTGTAAATCTCTTGTGAATGTAAAGGAAAATACCTATAGATAGCTACAATGTATACCACTTGGCAAGATCCATGGAGATACTTTTGAAAACTGCCCTGTTATGTTCAGTGTACTTGTAGTCAGAAATGTGTTTATTTGCTATTTGAAAGAATCCACACACTTAGAATCATGTAGAGAAATTTGCCTTGATTAAAGATGTCTTCTGTAAAACAACTGTATTTTCTCTCTGTTGTCTGCAGTTTTACAGGATGGTGGTTTAAGAAACAGCTGAGTACCCCTCCTGCAAAATCCTTTTGCAAGCAATTATTTCTTTCTGCTATGTGCTAGTCATTTTGACTGCCCCTGGGCTAAGTGTGCAAGTGAGGATTGCTCAGACGAGTGTTGCACCACATCGTACCCATGAAGGAAAAATTACATAATGGTGATAGAGGAAATGCAAAGAGATTTTTAACACTGGTGTAATTATAGTTCTCAGAGAGGAAGAAAGCAGTGCAAAAGTAACTTTGAAACTTCATTCTGTTGGAGGAAAACTGTGGGCCAAATCATGTTTTCCTGATGGTGCTGCTTTTCCTGTGGGCTTTACTGGGGTTATTTGCATGATTACAGTAACTAGACTTGGCCTGAGAAATCACTGTTACTAAATAGAATTTCAGGGAGTACATAAAAGAAATCTAAGAAGTTTTAAAATCTGCTGCACTGTTGACTTCCTCACAGGTTATGATTTTGAATAACTAACTTTAAACTTGTAATGAATGGGGGGAGGAAAAGTGTGCTAATTCTAGGATGGCTTACTTACAGTTTGTCTTGTGTCCTGTAGGCATTGGTCTCGCTGCAGTCAGTGAGAGCTTTAAAATTGGCTCCATGGTGTAATCAGTGCTAAAGACAGACACCGGGACAAATTTTCAGCAGCTGTACATTGATGTAGTTTCTTTGGTCTTAAGAACAGGGTAGACTTGCACCAGCTGGTGATAACACCTCTCTGCTTATAACATACAAGGTCTGTAATTTCCATTGAACGGTATTACCAATTTTGTTGGCGTTAATTTCAGAGTAGGAAAATTATTTTGGTAGACTGGCAAATCCTTGTTTATAGAGACTACTCATGAATGAGTGGCTTGATCTTGTGAGTGCTCCCAGCTTAATTTCCTTGATAAGTTTCAAAGCTACATGTGTGTAAGCTACCTAATTATTTAAAGGAAATGCTATTCATGTTAAGTAATCTTTTTTCAAAAATATCATTACAGATTGGCCAGTTGAGAAGTAATGTAACTACCATGCAATAAACTTGCAAAATCCATTTGTCCCCTGCTTATTCATTTATTAGATTTGAAGCTATGTATTAATGTTCTTAGCAGGTAGTAAGTCAAGCAAATGGGTCCCTTTTTCTTCTAGAAGATTGAAACATTCATCAAACAAGTAATACATGGCAAAGACCCTGTACGTTCCAATGGAGAGCACTTGGTTGTGAAGATTTAAAATACTGTGTATGAATATCTGTGTGGTAACATGCATTTCTAGGATACATTCTATTTTGATGACAAACTGCAATCCAGGTAAGTTAGATTTCCCTAATTCAAGTTGGGTAAATTGAATTGCAGATAAATTATGCAAACCATGTGAGGTCATGCATCTAGTTTTTGACAGTCATCAAGTGGGACTTATTATGGTCTCCAGCCTTGTAACTGGGTCACCCCTGGATTGTAAGTTTCCCTGATTAATTGCAGGTGTTTGTATTTAATTTTTCCACTTGATACACGAAATGCTGATTTTCAGAAACATGTAGATGTAAATAAGTTTACATGTTTGTTTGTAGCTATCAAAGTGTTTTATTTTTACATAGTAATTTAGTGGTAAGCTCTTCTAACAAGAAAGTAACCTCAGAAGAATTGCAAATAATGACTCCTCTCTGGCTTATTAGTGGGTTTTTTTGGTTGTTTTGTTTTGTTTTTTTGTTTTTTTTTTTTTTTTGGGTTTTTTTTTAAATAAATTAAACCTGCCTATAAATTCATGTAGACATACTGCTTACTCCTCGTGGACAGAATATGTCCTTCTTAAGAAGGAGGCTTAAACCCAAATCAGAACAGCCACTATGGCTTGCATGAGTATGCTGGTGTTCTCACACACACAGACACACAGTTTATTAGAGAAATTAAAAAGACAATATGCCATAAAACTACAATATTTTCAGTTTTAATTAAAACTATTTTTTTCATAAATAACGTCTATGGATTCTAGCCAATACCTTATTTGTCACTGAAGGTCCAGACTGCTAATTTATAGGACTTCACAGCTGCTCAGATGTTTGAAGTGACTCTAGTTTTGGGCTTCATGTTTCCTCATATGTTGGTTTTACAGTAGGCAAGCTATATGATTGGGTAAATTGAATTTCCTTAGCTTATCTTAGTCTATGAGAGCATATAAATAACCTGCATTAACGCTTAATGTGTGACATAGACAGTCCAAAGTTGCGAATTGGATTGATTCCAGGGAAGGAGCACTGGAGCTCTCTCTCACCTTTCAGGAAAATACCTCAAGCAAGCACTTCCATAATGTCCTGCCACAGCTGCCCTCTTCTACCTGGTAGTAATGTTGCTGGTATTTACGACTTCTTCCTTTTTCACTGTTGTAGTTTCCAGGCTTTCAGGTAATCCACCACCAGTACACTTCTTTTTGGTTCCTTGGAAAAAGTTGTTGTGGGAAAAGTCTCTTTTCATTCAAG